AGCAGAGCGTGGCCCAAGATTGTGGGGCCCTGCATCAATCCATGTGGGACACCCAAAAGAAGCTCCTGGCTCCCAGCTTCTGTCTAGCCCAGCATTGATCATTTCAGTCATTTGGAGAGGCTGGAAGATTTAACTCTCTCTGTGACTTTGCCTAATAAATAAAGTAAATCATTAAACAACAACAAAGAAAGAGAATGGATCAGTTGTATGGAAGAAGGTTCAGCAGAGTGGATGAGAGGGAAGCAGGGAAGTGGAATACAGGACTGTCGGGAAGCAGCCAGAGGGGATTGCCACAGCCCTGAGAACAGCCCCAAATGGAACTCGGTCACCTGCCAAAAGCCTGCATCTTAACCGTGACCATTCATAGCACTCACCTGGCAGCCTTGTAAAGCAAAAATTACTGAGCATTGGCAAATTATCATTGTATGTATCTGTGGCTCCAAAGTGATGTGTTACTGTCTATTTACCATGTAGAATGCTTGAATCCAGCCTATTAACAGATCAAATATTTATTATTGTTTGTGCTGACAACCATTAATTCTGGAATAGATGATGCACTGTTATAATGTTACCATGCTATGCAATAAACCATCAAAAGTATATTCCTTCTAACTGGAGTCCTGTGGCCTTGATCTACGCATCCTTCCCTCACCCAGGCATGCCTCAGCCTTCAGTAACTGCCTTGTCCTCTGCTGCTGTATTTTACATCTAAGTGGAGTATGTAGTATTCATTTCTGTTCCTGGCTTATTATATTTAGCGTAATGTCTTCAGGGTCATCCTAAGTTGCCTACAAATGACCAGATTTCCTTCTTTTCTCTAGGGCTGGATAACAGATATGTCATCTTTTCTGCACGCATTTGTCTGTTGATGAGCATGTTGCTTCTGTAGTTTGGCTCTTGGTAGAGGTGTTCAGTTAACATGAGAATGCACATACTTCAGCACCGTGATTTTGTTTCCTTTGGCTGTAGACCGTTAAATGTAGTTTTAGCTTTTCTGGGACTCCACAGCTTTCCTCCTTTTCTTTATTCCTTCCTTCTTCCTTTCCTTCCAGATTTTATTTAGAATAGGAAGAAGGAGAGAGAGAGGTCCTCCATGTGCTCGTTCACTCTCCAGATAGTAACAATGGCTGCAGCTGGGCCAGGATGAAGCCAGGAGACTGGAACTCCATCCAGGTTTCTCGTGTAGGTGGCAGGGGCCAAGCTCTTGGGCCATTTTCTGCTGCTTTTCCAGGCACAATAGCAGCAGTGAATTGGATCAGAATTGGAACAGCCGGAAGTCAAGCTAGCCCCCTTATAGGATGCTGGCCATGCACGTGGTGGCTTGTCACAACCAATTTACATTAAATTACATTACATTATGGAAGTGTACGAGGCTTTTCTTCACCACACCCTCATCAGCGCTTGTCACCTGCAGCCTTCTTGCTCAATGTCTTGATGTGTGTGAGGCAATACTTCATTGTGGTTTTAATGTGAATTTCTTGGTCATTAGTGATGTTGGCCAGTGGTCACTTATCTCTTCACCACTGTTTTGAGAAATGTCTCTTCAGGTTCTTTGCCTGTGTTTAGGTGGAAGCGATTTCTTGTTTGTTTCTTTGTGTGAATACGGGTGCCTAAGATTCTGATTGAGTTGACCAGTGTCATTTCTTGCCGTTGGACTTTTAACTGTTCCAGAGGGAATTAGCAGGGCGAGGGAACTGAGGTGTGACGTGGTAACAGCAGCATTGTCAGGGCTTCTTGCATGTCGTGTGCGGTTTTCTGTGGAGTACTCAGTTCATAGACGGGGTACAACTGAACCCAGAGAGGTGAAGTCCAGGGCTATGTAACCAGCCAGCGAAGGCTGGATGAAAATGCAGACCATCTGACTCCAGAGGTCTGTCAAAATAAGATCTTTAAACCTCGCTGTTTTGTTTTACTCTTTGAAACAACATTTAATTTAACTCCGTTTTCTCGTAAGAAGTTTTGTCTATGTAACTTGAAAGTCATGCACAGGATGTAAAGATGTGTGCTAAAGCTGTTGAATTACAGGAAAATGATTTATTTGAAAATTATTTTCTTCTACTTCCTAACTTAGCCCAGCCCACTCTCCCTGTCTTGCTTGCTTTGCTTCTGCTCCCAGAGGGACAATAGAAAGATGACGTCATTCAACTCTTCTCCCTTGCTGAGTCAGTGAATAAAATAGATCTCTCGTTCAAGAATTCTTTCTCCTGAATTTAAAAATAATTTGTTTTTTTAACTATATGTTTGATGACTGTTAATAATAGAAACATTTGATATTTGTTCATAAAGAACAAATGCTACTCTGAAGTTGCCATGCAAAGGTGCTGGTGTTAATGTGCTTCTAGAATCTTCTTTTGGTAGTGGGTTCATTTACCCTTATTTTATTAGTAATAGAATCTGGACAGGGTGTCAGGGTTTATTATGTGCACTTATTTTGTCACCCACCATAGAAGCAAACCATCAAAGTTGGATCTGCTCTCATTCTATCCTTTGGTCCCACTCTAATGACCCAGTTCAGTCCCATAGAATCTGCATGCTGTGATTAGATTATTTACACTGTCTTAGTGACATCTGTTTATGACTTTAGGACTTAAATGTTTGTATGAGTTTGGGAGTAAAATTATATTCAAACATCGCACATCTAGGTCCTTGAAGTGCTTGCTGTTTTCATACACAGCACACAATCCTTCCATCCTCACGTCATGTCTAGTCCACATATGTCTACAAAGGGTGAGGTTTTACCTAGATGCAAAGGTAGCACTGCCTGTGAACCTGTGACCTGTGAAACTTCAAAGTAAACACTTCCGGAATTGCAACAAGTATAGGAGATACATTTTCACCTGAAAAGATAGTGGCAGAGGAGTAGAAAGAATTCATCAGACCAAAGTGGGACCAAAACCCAACAAAGCACAGCAGTAAATGCAAGAGTTCCAGGTGTGGCTCCCAAGGTATCCTGTGACAAGGTTAGGGGCTTCCAAGGGTTGGAGCATCCCTGCCCTGTGACTTTGTGACTTGGCTGGTCACAGTGTATGTGACAGTACCCACAGAGTGAAATCTGCAGCTGCACCGGGCCTTGTCTTGGTGGGCTGTTTGTGGCTGTACTGATGCCATGTTTCTATTTGGCATTGCCCTGGTGAGGGGCTCCACTCCTGTGACAGAGCTCTCTGGGCTCCCCCAGCTTGTCTAAAATGTCCTTTGAAATCTTGAAGGATGCTTGCAGACCCTGTGGCTCAGTTGGTCTCTGCCCACTTTGCTGCTCTTTGAGGCTGCTCATTGATTTGCACACTTTCCTAGGGGTGCATTACACGCTGCTGGTCACTTTGCCTTCCCAGGGTCTCCTTGAGACCTTGCTGTCACAGCTCCACTAGGCTTCACCCTATCAGAGCCTCCAACCTGTGACATCAGCCCACACTCCACCCTGCTTTTCCTAAGCCAGTATCACTTTGTTTAAAAAAAAAAAGTATTCGTTGTTCTGTGATGAGGACCCCCAAACCTACCTCTTTGGATCAGAAGGACTCCCAAACCTATGTCTCTAGGAGAGCTGTATTTCCTTATTCTTTATCCACATATCCAGCTCCCTTGGAAGTCGCCATGTGGGGCGTTTTATAGGCATTCTAAATGTATGCTATACTAAACCATGCACCATGTCTCCTTGACCAGTCTTAGTTGTTGTCATGTGTTCCTAGTCTAAGTGATAGTGTGATTATCTAAGTTAAAGCTTAGGAATGAATGGTGGTGGATGTTTGGTCTGGCACATGAGCCACGGTGGTTAAGACATCCCAGCTCATGGTGGAGAGCCTGTGTTTGATGCCTAGCTGTAACTGCTTGCTAATGCGAACCCCAGAAGGAAGCAGTGATGGTTGATCCGGGTCCTGGCAGCAACATGAAAATATTGGATTGAGTTCTTGGCTCTCAGTTTTGATTTTGGTTTCAACTCTGACCATTCCAGACATTTGGGAAATGAGCTATTATATGATAGTGTTCTCTCTCTCTCTCTGTCTCTCTGCCTCTCTGCCTACCCCCGCCGCCTCTCAAATAAATTTTAAAAATTCTTTAGTAAGCTGGATTTAGTTCTTCCACCTAGCTTTTATTTCTTCTGCTTAACTAATTACACACTTTTATATTTTTCTTAATGATATTTTAAGATTTCCTACTCATCAGTATTTCATCTTTAATGGTTTAATTTATAAATTTTTTAGTGAGTGGTTATATTCTCCAAACTGTGCTCCACAATATCTTCATTCCATAAGATTTAGCAAATGGTATTGTAAAAAAAAAAAAAAAAAAGAGGTTTGGAGAATGCTACATACAGTATATGAAACACTAAGAAAAACCAGCAGTACAGTCGTCTCCCCTTCACTTTCATAAAGAGACTTTAAATATTTTGTCTCCTGCGTGTTTAAGTAGTCACTTTTCCTATCCACCCTGTTTGTTTATGTGACTTTCTTATTCATATTCTAGACTCCTGAATATCCTGGGACCCATGTTATTGTTGATTTAGAGATGGAGGAGTAAATGCAGAGTGAAGCATTGTTACCCTGAACACCACGCATAACCGACTGTCAAATACAAGTTCCCCAGCACTGATATTGAGCCCAAGCAAATCATTGGTTGTAGACGTATAATAAGGAAATGTTGAGTCAGAGGTCGAATTTGCAGGATTGTTGAGAATTGACCACATCGTTATTAGTTTATTTTTAGTTTTTAAAATTAAATTAAAATAGTAAGATTGATTACAAAGTTGAGAGGAATGGATGCCCATGTGTGTCTCTGAAGGGTTGAGGAAGGCAGGCAGGACAAATGCCTCAGTTTTTTCTCTTCCCTGAACCGGTGCAGGTCTGGGCTGGGCTAGGCTGGAACATCCATAGATTAGCGTGAGAGATGGGGCTGAGGGAGAAGCTAACCAGGCAGCTGCATCCACCAGCATGTGTGTGGGCTGGTGCAGGTGTTGATGGAACCTGACCCTACTGTCAAGATGCTTACTTACATGTTGTTTTTTCTAGATCCAAGAGTTGAAAATTGGCTCCTCATGTCCTCACCTTTGCCACAAACCATCATCCTGGCACTGTATGTCTATTTCGTCACATCTCTGGGACCAAAGCTCATGGAGAATCGAAAGCCCTTTGAACTCAAGAAAACGATGATAACGTACAATTTTTTAATAGTACTCTTTTCTGTGTATATGTGTTATGAGGCAAGTGTCTTCAGTATTTCTAATGAGATAATTTTGCCTGAGTCTTCCTGTTTTTCTGTCATTGTATGTGTTGTTCTGACTATAAAATGACCCTTTGAGAATGCAAGAATTTTAGAGATGGAGCATACTAGACTACTCACCAGAAATTTGTTATGTGTAGAGGCCAGTGAATAAACTCTTCAGAGAATCTCAATATAATCTACCTTGCAGGTAGTGACAACATGTACCATTGCAGTCTGGGGATTTGCGAATAGTCTTAACAGGTGATTAAATATTAGTTTGAGGAAACTCATACTTGGAGACATGAAGTAACTTAGCTTAAGTCACATAACTGCTAAATGAAGAACTGGTATTTGAACCTAGAGCATTCTGACATCTGAGTTCATCCTGACCACATGATGGCTTACCATCACAGGGATAGCTTGGACTTCCTGCCTGCTCTGATGAACTTTAGGGTGGTGTGCAGGTTTGGTTTGGTGTAGCTGGGTTTGGGGGAAAGAATATAAACTCATATAAAAACAATAGTGATGAGGTTTGGGGCTGGCGTTTAGCATGGTGGGTTAAACTGCTGCCCGTGATGCTGGCACCCCATATGGACACTGGCTTGAGTTCTGAATGCTTTAGTATCTATCTACCTCCCTGCCTGTGTGCCTGGGAAAGCAGCTGAAGAGGGCATAATGGCTTAGACTTTGCACATGTATGGGAGACCCAGAGGAAGCTCTTGACTCCTAGCTTCAGCCTGGCCCAACCATGGCCATTGCAGCCATTTGGGCAATGAACCAGTGGATGGGAGATATCTCTGTGTGTGTGTCTATCCCTCTCTCTGTGTAACTGCCTGTCAAAGAAATAGACAAATCCTTAAACTACAAAAAGTAGAGAGATGGGCCAATAGATCATTAATTCTCAGGCTCCTCATATGTTGCTTCTGGCATCTGGGAAAGCGTGGTAAAGATGAGGAGCATGGAAGGCGCCTGCTGATCTCAGAGAGGGAGGATGCAGTGTGCTGCCATCACACCTGGAAAGCAGAGGACCAGGAACTAGTGGGTCTCCATTCTGCCAGCAACCAGCTGCCTGACCTGGAGAAGTTAGGTCACTTCTTTGGGTCTTCATTTTCTCATTTTATAAATAGAGCCCAAATTGAACCAGATAGTCCCCCAGGTCCCTTTAAGCTCTGCTAGGTTTGGGTTCTGTGTCAGTTTCAAGCCTTAGATTGTCAATTACAACATAAAGGTAGGTTTTAAAATATTTGAATTTGAGAGTTGCTATGTTTCATTCAACACTAATGCCTAAATTACTTACATTCTACTTTTTTCATATTGTTAACCTGGAATAACATTTACTAAAAGGAGAATTAGTCATCTCATGATATAATGTGTATTTCCCATCAGCCAGACATGAGCCTGAGCACAAGAGATACAAGGAGGCAGAGAAGGCAGGATTTTGTAAAATAGAACTAATTGTTGGGTACACATTACATCCCCCGTTGGGGAAATCTAATGAATTGTTTTTGTGAGGTATCTTTCTCACCCCTAAAATGTATACCCTATATTATTCTGCATCTCTATGTATAGTGTGATTGAATTATAGATTATGTTCTAGATGGACCTGGGAATTAGTGGCAGAAAAAGTGGTTTTATTTTATTTATATTTATTTGAGAGGCAGAGAAGAACATTTGCTAACCCGATATACTCAATGGCTGGGCCTGGGCAGGCTGACACTGGGGGCTCAGCAGTAGCCAAAAGCTGCAATTGCAAGTGGAAGCAGGATTCAGTGAGACACGCTGGTTTGAAACACAAGTATCTTAGCCAGCGGGACAAACACGTCCCCTAGCAGTGTGTTTCTTAAATTTCATAGACTGATGGTTGTCCCTCTCATTCATTTCTTTTCTGTGCATCATGAAAATATTACTCTGATAGGTATCATGAGCCTCTTTTTAGAATCAATTGTAAAATTGTCATTTTAGCTTTAATAGTCATTCAAAATAAGAATTTTTGATTGACTTCAATGGAAAAAAAAATGAAAACATACCAGGAAAACGCTGGCACTAGTAAGAATAAGAACTCGGCAAGAGAGAGAAGAACTTATTATCCTGTCAATGCCCTCAGTTAAGGCAACCATCTAATGGATTCATTGACTTACAGTGAAAGTCCTTGGCTTTTCATTCCTGGATACTGTTTTCATAGAAGACTTTCTTTCCATCCACTGAAGAATGTCAATATAATCCGAAATAAAGTTGAGGCTTGTCAACAATAGGCCTTTTCTTCTCACACCAGGCAAAGGTCACGTGGTGGGTGTGCTGGAATTAAGGCCTGCCAGATTGCACTTTTATTGTTAACAAGAGCATTTTGCGCTCTTACTTGCCTTGTGAATCCAGAGCAGTCCCAGTGTCTATGTTATGCGTGTGACTCATCTGGATTTTAAATGAGAAAAGTGTCATAGTACTTCCGCTTCGCATCACACAGTATCATTGGTTGCATCGCAGCTGTCCTGTGAGCACACTGAGGAACTTTAGCTTGCCCATGCATTTCTTAATGGATGAGAGATCACCAGGAAACACTGAGCCTGGGTTAGCTGTGAGAGGACTCGCGTGCTCAGGTAGAGATAGTTGTGGAAGCAAGTATTGCCAGGTTTGTGTTCTTCACTGTGTTAGGATTTCATTCCAAGAAACGAGCATGTGGTCAAAACACAGTTGAGAGATAATGTGTGAGTTTGCAGTTCTGCAAACCTTTGGTATTGAGCATGCTTGTGGTTTGTAATTGTTCCAGATGATTTGCTTTTGCGCTGACTGCTGGCTCAGCGGATAATGGAATGAATGGATGCATTCAGAATTACCTTTATTTATTTATTTTTTTTGCAACTGTTGAACAAATGCTTCCTTCTTTAATGTGTGTCTGCTCTCTTACAGTTTGTGATGTCTGGCTGGGGTACAGGTTATTCATTTCGATGTGAACTTGTTGACTATTCACGGTCACCCACAGCTATGAGGGTAAGTTGCTTTTTGGAAAAGCTTTGTAACTCAAAATCATAGTTAAAACATTTTTGGACATAAACTCAGAGCAGTAAATGATTCCATTAGCAGATTAGCTATGTTAGTGAAAAAGCTAAAAATTAAAGGAAAGAACTAAAGAAGATCAGGTGAGTAGTTTGCTATAAAATAAATGTACATTTCTTTTTTAATCTCTTAGATTTAAAAATAATTCATATGTGATTCCTCAAGAAAAGAAAAAGAGTTGTAAGACCCATCAGCTTCACTCTTACTGTGTATCTGAAAGAATTGGAGGGTGGAACTCAAAGACATCTTTGTACACTCAAGTTCGTAGCAGTGTTGCTCACAATAGGCAAAAGATGGGAGCAACCCCTTTGTCTAGGCATGGGTGAACAGATAAACAAAATGTGCTGTACTTCATACTTACCCACACCTTCTGCAACAAGATCTTGGAATGTATTTCATGAATCAACCATCCATAAGAGGCTGATTGTTTACAATTACCTGAGATGGTCAATGACCCCTTTATCACTGTCACTGGTACTGCCCATAAACAACAAAGATCTAATTCTCATTGTACCTACATTAGGGCCCCAGGATATAAGAATGAACCCACAGTGAAATGACAGTCTCCTACATGGTTGGGAGATACTCCAGTGAAAACATGATGGACTTGGGAAAATTCACAAAGTACACACATTATGAACCTGAAGGGGAGGGAACTTGCTGGAAGGGAAGGGAAGAGCCCAGGGCCAACTAAAATTGTATCAAAAAACAAACAAAAAGCATGAATTTTTAAAATGTGCTATAGACATAGAATTGAATATTTTAAACCAGTCTTTAAAAAGAGCAAGGTTCTGACTCATGCCACAACATGGAAGAACTGTGGGGACATATGCTAGATGAGATGCTCTAGTTCATACAAAAAGCCCACTCTAGGCTTCACTTTATGGAAAGTACCTGTGGTAGTGAAACTCTTAGGAAGGAAGGCAGTGGATAGCTGAGGCTGGGGAGAAGGGGAAATGGAGGCTCTAGTATCGCGTGGATACAGGGTTTCAGTTTTGCAAGATGAAAGTAGTCTTAATGGCTGGATGGTGGTGTTGCTTGCCTAACAGTGTGATTATACTTAACACCATTAAACTATTTTCCAAAACGAGTTCATGCCAAGATTTAAAGAAAGAAGTTTTCCATACAGAAAATAAAACGAATTCATGTTTTCCTGCAGATGGTACGCACCTGCTGGCTTTATTACTTCTCCAAGTTTATTGAGCTGTTAGATACTGTGAGTATGTGGTCACCACAATTGGTAAATGTTTGATGTTTCCATGAAAGCAATAAGTGCTCTAGTTGAGTTGCCTGATAACTGGTTATCTCTTGTCCGTAGGCAGAACCACTGTTATCTTTTTAACCTTTACCGTCACCTGTGTGAGAGAACAGATGGGATAAATGTCTTAATATTTTACAGGCTGCAGAAGGTTTTTCTTATGGAGGCAACACCAGATTGAGATAAACACGTTAACTGTCACGTAAAACACAAAACTGCCTCTTTTGTGTGTGGTGGCAGTTGCTTTAGGAAATAACTTCAGGAAACAACATCCGACCTTTGGTTCTTCATTGTGTAATCCATGTGCCTTTAAAAAGATAAATACTTCAAAACTCATAAACATACCCAAGGCAATGAAGTCCCGGTGGAGGACCAGTGCGGAGGGTGACACCTGCTTGACTCTGCTTGGCTGGGATCTGTCCTTGCTAGCCCTGGGCCCTTCCCATTTCAGATCTTGGTGAGAATCCACTCTGAGCTTGGACAAGTGTGTCCTGGAAGAAGCAGGTGGCATGGCTAGAATGAGAGGAGAAAGCCACGAGGCTTAGTTTCCAGAAGAGCTTAAGAAAACTCTTTGTGGCAAATGAGTCCAGTTCTGACTGTGAGACTGGCAGAGTATACTCTGGAAGATACGCCACTGTAGAGGACTTCCTCCTGCTAGCCCGCAGTGGCTTGCCCCGTTATATTAGAATTGGAAGTGCATATAGAATGCAAGGTTCTCAAATGCTATAGCATATGGCAGGCTAGTGAAAACACGCATGCCTGGACCTCTACCCCGGAGTTGCTGATTCAGGAAATCTTAGATAGGGCTCAAGAATTTACATCTTTAGTAAATTACCTCATATGGTGCTGATGCTCTTGATCCAGGGATTAAATTAGACCCCTGTCACAGTTAGTGTTCAGCTATCATGGTGCAGCAGAATTAACTGCCTGGGGCACGGCAAGAATAACCTTGGCTCCAGCTCTGGGTTTGGTGCCAAATGTTCTGGAACAGAGCCCAGACATGGTTATTTAAACAAAACAACCAAACTTTTCAGACATTGTAGAATGCATCACTTGTCTAGTCCTCACTTCAAAAAAAATTGAAGCCAAGATATTCGGTGACTTGCCCAGGAGAAGGAGGCTTAGGACCCAGTCACTAGTTGGTGGCTTTTCTGTCGCACCAGGATGCATTGTTCCATGTGCATAGTGCAAAAGCAAGCAAATGTGGGCGTCATTCTTTCTGCTTTGCATGGTTTCAGTTGCAGCTTCCACAAGCAAACTGTTGCCTCTGTATCCTTCCCTCAGCTGCCCATCTCAGCTCCGTCAGCACTTCTCTGGGTGCTGTTTGGTCTCACCTTGTATTTAATATTTAACTCTTAGCTGTATTCTGAATTTTGCTTTGGCATCATTTTATCATTTCCCCCAATTCTTGAATCCTGCTCTTTTCATCTCTATCATTTGTACAAAACAATAGTTATGTTCAGTCTGTGTGGTGCCTTTATTGCCCTTTTTCTTTTTCCAATGCACCTTTGTGGGGTTTTTTTTTTTCATCCTTTGCTTTCAAATGAATTCTGCAAGCGTTCCCCTTTAATGAAAATTTGCCAGCTGTTGATTTTTTTCAAATGGTCCTTGAGTTTGCCTGCTCCCATCCCCAAAGCAGTAGGATGTGTTGGAAACCAACGTAGCCTACCTTCAGTCCTAAGATTTAAGATTCCTTTGCTTTCTCGTGTGCTGCAAAATGCAATGGAATTTATTTTGTTACACTGATGGCATTTCTTAGAGTGTTTTTTGGCCATACTCTTCCCATGCATATCTTTGGTTTTAAATCTGCCTAAAATTTCTGTTCGCCTCCATCGGCTCTTTCCTGGCTAGATGTCATACCCAAGTTGTTTTACACTAGTTAGCTTTTGTGCTGCCCTTTGAAATCCATCTGCTTCTAGAAGTATTGCATCAGGCCAGTCCTTGCAAAAAGAAATTATGATATGAAACGGTTTGCACTAAGGCAGTATTTTTGTAATGTTCAGTAATGTATTGCATGATTTTATGTGAACTTGATTTTCTTTACATTATTTCAGATCTTTTTTGTTCTGCGTAAGAAAAATAGCCAAGTGACTTTCCTTCATGTCTTCCATCATACCATCATGCCATGGACCTGGTGGTTTGGCGTAAAATTTGCTCCAGGTAGCTGAGGGAGAGCTGGGATAATGTGTTACAAATAGTAACATTGCTGTGTGCTGTAAACAAAGGTTTATCCTTGAATGTAATGTGTAAGAAATTTTTAAAAAAATCAAGAATGACTTTGGGTAAGCTCCTGACTTTCTTGAATTACTCCCTGAAACATAGCAGGGACTCTAAGATTTGTTTGCCTCCTTTAATATGCTTGATATGCTTGAATTTTGAGCACATTCTTCCACATATTCTCTGTTGGGTTTGGGTTTTACTCTTTTTTGCTAGAGTTCTAGTAAATGCTTTTAAATACATGACCAGTAGACAGATCAGTAAAATGATCAAAGTCTTGGCTTTTTAGGGTTTTAGTTGGATAGCTTGTCCTTCTCTGTTCACAGGAAGTTACCTTACTTGTCTCAAGTTGCGCATCTTGTCTGCCTTAATGTTTCTTGTAATGGATACACACCTCATCTCCTCCCAGCTCTTTAAACATGTTTCAAATGAGTTACACCAACTTCTCCAAGTGTCCTACCCTAGCAGAGGACATTATGACATTATTTTTTTTTTAGGCCAGAGAAATAGTTTAAATCAGAACTTTAGCCACAGGCTGGCTCGTTCTTTCTTTCTTTCTTTCTCTCTCTCTTTCTTTCTCTCTCTTTCTTTCTTTCTTTCTTTCTTTCTTTCTTTCTTTCTTTCTTTCTTTCTTTCTTTCTTTCTTTCTTTCTTTCTTTCCTTCCTTCCTTCCTTCCTTCCTTCCTTCCTTCCTTCCTTCCTTCCTTTTTCTCTATCTCCCTCCCTCCCTCTCTCCCTCTCTCCCTCTCTCCCTCTCTCCCTCTCTCCCTCTCTCCCTCTCTCCCTCTCTCCCTCTCTCCCTCTCTCCCTCTCTCCCTCTCCTTTCTTTGTTTTATTTTTGTTAAGATTTATTTTTAATGCAAAGTCAGATATACAGAGAGGAAAAGAGACAGAGAGGAAGACTTTCCAACTGCTGGTTCACTCCCCAAGTGGCTGCAATGGCCAGAGCTGAGCCATTCAGAAGCCAGGAGCCCGGAACCTCTTCCTGGTCTCCCACATGGGTGCAGGGTCCCAAGGCTTTGGACCATCTTTGACTGCTTTCCAAGACCAAGAGCGGGGAGCTGGATGGAAAGTAGGGCCTCTGGGATTATGCCGGTGTGTGCTAGGTAAGGACTTTAGTATATATGTTGCCGAAAGTAAGGACTTTAGCCTAGTGGCTACCACACCGGGCCCCACAGGCTCTTTCTTTGTGTGTTTTATTTGAAAACTGGAGGAAGCAGGAAGTAATTTTATCCTATTGTAAAATTTTAAAGAAGTGATACCCCCAAGAAGTTGTTCTTACCTCAGTAAGCTTTGATTGGTGAATGTCTTTGATTCTGAAGTTGAGGAAGTTTTTGCATGGTCCTCCAGCCCACAGCACGGAGTCCATTCCCATCTCCGTGCACAGCTCTGCACAGGGACACCTGCTCAGCTCTAGACTTCAGGAGAAAGGAGCCCCAGCTGAGGAATCCTCCTGAGTTCTAGACGCTCTTGCATGGGGAGGGAGCTGGTCTGCCTAGTGCAGGGCGTGGGAGGACCTGGACTGGGGAGAAGACTCCGGAACCTAGAGAGGCAATGAGAGGCAATGAGTGCTGAGAGGGTTGGGTAGAGCATAGGCCCTCCAATGAGCTCCAGGTAAAATACATCTAGACCCCCAATTGACATTTATCTGCTGAGGAATTTATAAAGGTAAACCCTAAGTGCTTCTTCTTAGGACAAATGTTAGTACAGAAGCAGAATTGACATAGTAAGGTGGTTTCCGTTTAACCAATCCAAGGTAACTGTGCTGTGAAGCCTCCCGCATGGTTTGTGTTCTTCCTTTGCTGCTGTTTTCTCTCACGTGCATATCATGTCTCACAGTTCTTCCTGAAGTGGTGTAAACTGAGGCCCTCTTTGTATTGGTGAACAGTTGGAAAACATCTAAGCGTCCACTGATACAGCGGGTTTGATTTCTTGTGTATGACACCAATAATGAGAGGCGTTTAGTTCGTCTTTTGTGGCAGGCAGATCGATTCCTAAATTGTCATAGATGAACATTTGAAGGTACTTCCAAACTGATCATTTAATTCATTTTCTTCTGTGAGAATGAATGCTATAGGACAGATAATTATATTAGGAAAAGGATTGGGAGGCGATATCCCAAAATGTATAAATGGGTGATTTGGAGATTCTGAAGCAAAGAGGGGTTCCCTTTTCTTCTTATCCTTCTTTGTTTTGTCCAATTTTTCTATAAAAGATCTCAGTATTTATAATGGAAAAAAATGGGTTTTAGTTAAGAATGCACGTGAGTGTTTTTCTAACATCCACCCTGAGTCCGTCAGTAGTCTAGCTTACATTTCAAAACCCAACAATGCTTTCAGGAATGAAGCTCTGGAGTTACTCTGTCCTCAGCTGTGAATGGCACTGTGTTTACGGACATCAGGTCCTTTACGGTCATTTCCTCGTCCACACCCCAACATCCCTTCGTTCTTACAGCACGTAAATGATAGCAGAGGTACGGTTTCCCTCGTGTGTTTGTGTTGGCATCGTGCAGCCTTGTGCAGCTGGGGTGCCCGTGGGCACAGCACACCTGAAACCTGCTGAGCAGCTCCCACCGCGGCAGAGCGCCTTCCCTGTGCTAGCATCCGCCGGAAGCCGCTCTGTCCTGGAGTTGGATCAGAGCTCATCTCCAGCTTGTCAGTCATTTCCTGTCTGCCAGTTGCCCTCCTCGCTGGGACAGTCATCACGTGTTCTTTTTGAACAGGATGGAACTATTTCTGTGATAGGCTTTTATATTAATATATTTATACTCCCTTAGAGAAATATGGAGAACTTTGATAAATATCCAGAGGATTCTTTGATTCCCCCCCCCCCCCAAATCAAAGGAGTGAAGTAGTGTACTGTGCTTTGTTTTGGCTTGTTTGTCTTTTCAGTTCTGTTATCCGAAAGAAGAAAGCGAGTATATTGAAACCTTCTGAAAGAGATATGAAAATGCACTGTTAGAGAATAGACCTATTAAACTAACATCAGCAAATAATTGTGGTTGGAGAAAATAGCATTATTTTTACTTGATTTTTTTTCAATAACCCTTACGAAACATGCGTAGGCTCATGCTTTGTTAAACTCCTTTCCGTGGCATCTTCATTTAAATGCTCCAGGGCTCCAGTGGCAAGCAGTCAAGTAACGAGAGAGGTGCCATGGTGAGAATAATTCTGTTAGAGTTCTTCATCCGGGTGACGTGGGTTTCCCGTGTTTACATGATTGAGAGACACAAATGGAATTGAGAGGTAGTTGATGCACTCCCCCGAAAAGCAGCTTGACTCCTAAACCGCAAGAAATAGGCTACTGTTCTATTTTAAATTCTGTTTGCAAAAGGTGTTTTCACACTGCCATAATGTATTCAAGTTTCTTTTGGGAATAAAAAGGCTAATCCGAATGTGAATTTAAAAAAAAAAAAAAGCTGGGACATTCTTTATAAGCTTCATTGATGCTATTCCTGCTGACGTGGTTTGTGATAATGAAGGAATCAGATAAAACTTTGCCTGCTGTTGAAGCAAAGAAAGTGTATAAAGCATGAGAGAGACTTGGGGCTATTGAAATTTGTTTAAAGCAGGGTATTTAAAGGGAGTACTTTAGTAATAGTGGCACCTAATAGTTTCAAAAATTGCTACAAAATTTCTTTCTGCTATGCAGCAGTTTCCAAGGTTTTTGATGTTATTTTAAGATTGACATATTCATTTGAAAGGCAGAACGGCAGACAGAGAGACGGACACAGAGACCTTCTGTCCTCTGGTCCACTCTTCAAGGGCATCCAACAGCCAGGGCTGGTCCAGCCCTCTAACTAGGAGCACAGGGCTCCATCCTGGCGGTGTAATGGGGTGGCAGGGGCCCAAGCACCGACATCATCCCCTGCTTCTTTCCCAGGCACGTTAGCAAGGAGCCGGATCAGAAGTGGAGCAGCCAAGACTTGAGCCATTTCTCCAATATGTGATGCTGACATCAAAGTTTGTGGATTAGCCAACTATGTCAGAACACCAAGCCCAGGACGTTTTTTAAAGAAGTGATAACTTGTGTTTTCCTTTAACTCATAAACTTTTTCTATACCACAGTTAGTTCAAGTTCATTTGGGTTTTGTAGACTATTTCATACAAAATTTAAAATTCATGAGCCACGATTCCAAATTGAATCAGAGTTAAAGAATTTAGATTGTGGAGTACAGCATGATAGCCTAGTGGCTAAATCCTCATCTTCCATCCACTGCCTCCCTCTCCAGATGGCCACCATTGCTGGAGCTGAGCCAAACTGAAACGAGGAGCTTCTTCTGGATCTCCTGTGTGTGCAGAGTTCCAAGGACCCAAGGTGTCCTTTACTGCTTTTCCAGGATATTAGCAGGGAGATGGACGGGAAGCAGGGCCAGTGGGGTTAGAACTGATACCCATATGGAATCTCAGCATGTGCAAGGCTAGGACTTTAGCCACTAGCTTACCATGCCGGGCCCCCAAAATAATTTTAAAAATTATTCAGCAGTGTATCATACCTGAAGGGTAACTTCGTTTGTGAAAGGAAGTGCAAGTCCTAAGACAGTCTTACAGATTAAGGTGGAACAAGGTAAATAAGGACAGATTCATTTAGTCTCTATTTTTTACATTTTATATTTCACTAATTGCATTATGTCGCTCCCTCTAGTTTGATGACTAAAAGGATTGATGTTTCATGAATACTTGATTTTTTAATTAAAAATCCAAGAAAAAATTTTACTGCCATCTCAGTACATATGGAAATTTTACTGCCATCTCAGTACATATGGAAAAAATTTTACTGCCATCTCAGTGAAGGAACAAGACGCTCACATTCTAATTTTCTTTTCCAGGTGGTTTGGGAACATTCCATGCCCTTGTAAACACAGCTGTGCATGTAGTCATGTATTCTTACTATGGACTCAGTGCATTGGGACCAGCCTACCAGAAGTATCTGTGGTGGAAAAAACACTTGACATCATTACAGCTTGTAAGTAATTCATTTTCTTTTCTTTTTTTTTAAGATTTATTTATTTTTTATTACAAAGTCAGATATACAGAGAGGAGGAGAGACATCCGATGATTCACTCCCCAAGTGAGCACAACGGCCAGTGCTGCGCCGATCTGAAGCCAGGAGCCAGGAACTTCTTTCAGGTGTCCCACATGGGTGCAGGGTTCCAAGGCTTTGGGCCGTCCTCGACTGCTTTCCCAGGCCACAAGCAGGGAGCTGGCTGGGAAGCAGAGCTGCCGGGATTAGAACTGGCACCCATATGGGATTCTAGCGCATTCAAGGCAAGGACTTTAGCCACCAGGCCACACCACGGGCCCAGTAATTCATTTTCTTTAGAACTGGATATGACATGAAACTGGTCTTTTTTTTTTTTTAACTGTGAAGTAGGATTCTAGCAAAATAAAGAGTATGACACGGTAGAGATATGAAGTCTGACCCCTCCAAGTATGCCACCATTATCCCCTTCTGTGTTACTTGAACTTTGTCAGCAACTTTGCTCACAATGAAGTGTATTTGGTATATTAAGAGACAGACAAGGAAGTTTATTTTTCTACACTACTTCATCTTAAAAATGTTAAAGATGGTTTTGCTGCAGACTTTCTCAGAGTTCTGCGGAATGATAGACATCATACTAAAGAGGTGTTAGAGATATGGTATTCCAGATCTCAGTCACGTGGGAGGAAGGGCAAGGCTTCCTGCCTGCCCACAGTTGGTGCTGAGGTTTAGCAAGTTCCTATAATGATGTTTCCCCAAGTGGGAGAGTGATATTTTAGTAAGGATCCTAACTCCTTTTCTAATACTAAATATGGAATGAAATGAGAAGCCTTATTTATTAGAAGATTCCTTAGTCAAGATTAAACTACATCCTTTTGGTATTATTCATTGCATCTGTAACTGACAATAATCTAAATGACTGTGAGGAAATGATGAATGCAGCCTGCTTTCCTTGGGCCGGCTTCCTCTGCCTTCCCAGGCACACGGGGGAGCTGGATTGGAAGCAGAGCAGTTGAGATGCAAACCTCTGCTGAAATGGGATGCAGGTGTCTCAGGCGGTGGCTTGATGTGCTGAGCCACATTGATATCTGCAGGAATGTATCCAGCTTTTGTGCTTTATATGCATATAACCTCTACATGACTTAGGTTCTACTGCATGTATATTTATGCTAGACTTTTCTTTCCTTAGCATCCTATTAAAGCTTATAGAAAAGTCCTTACATAGAAAAAAATAGAAGTTTGTTCGTTATTATTTCAAATGCATCAGTTACATAGAAACGCACTAATGTTTAGAATTTTGAGAACATTGCTTCTGGGGTTTATTTGCTTTCCCACAAAATAGGAGGAATAATTGCAGCTGCTGAGCAGGAATATCATTAAAAGCTCCTGAAGATAATGCAAGGGACAGCAATGACAATGACAAAATGGCAGTAAGAGAAATTATATGAAAGCTTTTTGACATTGTTGTGGAGTCAGAGAAATTATGTGAAAATCTTAACCATTGTTGGGGTCAGAGTTGTGGCTCCATGGGTTAAATTGTCACTTGGAACAACTGTGTCCCGTATTGGAGCACCTGATTCCGTGCTGGTTTCTCCATGTGTCCAATTTCCTGTAGCAGATTACAGGCCAAGTGCTTCAGTTCCTGCCTTCCTGTGGCAAACCTGAGTGGAGTTCCTAGTTCCCAGCCCCGCTGAGGCAGGCATCAGGGAAGGGAGCTACAGGTGGAAGATTTCTCCATCTCTTCTCCTCTCCCCTCCTCCTCCCTCTCCTTCCTCTCTCCCTCCTCTACCTACCCTTTCCCCTCCTCTCCCCTACTTTTCCCTTCTCCCTCCCCTTCCTCCTCCCTATCCCCTCCCCTTCTTCTCCTTCCCTCCTCTCCCCTCCACCTCCCGCCTTCCACTCCCTTCACCTTACCCCCTCTTCCCTAACTCCCCTCCCTCTCTAACTCTGCATCTGAACTAAGTAAACTTGAAAATAAAATCTGAGCCGTTGCTATAACTGGATGGATTGTGGCTGGTGCTGCTGGTTTCTTTATAGAGGTTACTTTCCTAAAATATTTGCAGAACACATGTTGCCTTTTAATCGTAGGGGGGCGGTAAAAGATATTCAAAAGACTTTGAACGTTAGCCTATAAGTCCTCTTAGAGTGGGGTGGAATGTTCTGGCACACAGAATCTTCAGCACTGTTAGAAGGATGCAAGTGCTCCCACTCCTTGCAGGGTAGCTCCTGAGCTGGCAGCCAGGCCATATTATTTCTGTGACAATGGAGGACAAGTATCAGAATGCTTTGTCTGCTGTAGAATGTTAGGGGCATTCATTTGAATAATTTTCTTATTTGCAAAGTTGAAATATCTGGTAAAAAAAAAAGAAGACAGAGTATTTGAACTCCAAGCCATCCTGGAGGGGCTGGCACTGGACTCAAAGGATTAAGGTGCCAGCATCAGCATCGCATATGGACACTGGTTCTAGTCCCTGGTGCTACACTTGCGGTCTAGGTCCCTACTGATGCACCATGGGAAGCAGTGGAAGATGGCCCAAGTTCTTGGTCCTCTGCACCTGTGTGGGAGAGCAGGAAGAAGCTCCTGGCCTTCGTGTGGCCTAGCCCTGGCCAGTGTAGCCATTTGAGGGACTATGAAAGAAAGATCTCCCTCTGCCTGTAATCCTGACTTCCAAATAAATAAAAATAAATCTGTAAAAAAAAATCCTGGACAAATAAGCCACTAAACAATGGTTGTCATTGCACTGTATGTCAGAGAAACTGGCTCAGTAGACTCCTTGAGTGGTATAAAGGGTGCATAGCTCCAGGAATATGGGACTTGGGCTGCTGGAGTTACTTTTGAAGATTGATTTATTTTTTATTGGAAAGTCAGATCTGCAGAGAGGAGGAGAGACAGAGAGGAAGATCTTTCATCCACTGATTCATTCCCCAAGTGGCTGCCACGGCTGGAGCTGAGCCGATCCAAAGCCAGGTGCTTCTTCTGGGTCTCCCACACAGGTTCAGGGTCCCAAGGCCTTGAGCATTCCTCTACTACGTTTCTAGGCCACAAGCAGGGAGCTGGATGGGAAGTGGAGCAGCCAGGACACAAACTGTCACCCATATTGGGATCCCGGCACATACAAGGCGAGGACTTTAGCTGCCAGGCTACTGTGCCGGGCCCCCATCTGGGTTTTGACGTCTCATTGTCCTCATCACTTCCAGAGAGACTTGATCTAAAGGTGAACTTTACCGCCCTGCCTGTAGCCACCCCCCCCCCTACATCTGAACAACTCCATCTCACTCTTTTCGTCTTTTAGGTCCAGTTTGTTATTGTCACCATCCACATAGGTCAGTTCTTCTTCATGGAGGATTGCAACTACCAGTATCCAATCTTTCTGTACATCATTATGTCCTACGGGTGCATCTTCCTGCTGCTCTTTCTCCACTTTTGGTACCGTGCTTACACCAAGGGCCAGAGGCTGCCCAAAAATCTGAAAAATGAAAGCTGCAAGAACAAACAGCACTGAAGGGACGAGCATGACACTAGACTGTGGTTGAGCCCGAGACCTTGTCTTCCGTGACAATCAAGAGAGATTTACCTATGCAGTACATTTTGTATATTTTTCAAAACCAAGAGCCTGTATTTTTATGATAAGTTATTGAAACTTCTCCTATCTGAGAGCTCAAAAGCTCCCGAATGGTCTTCTGATCATTGGAGCCTAAAACAGCCAAGAGTTTCCCAGCTACCTTGAAAGCTAATCATAAAGGTTTGGTCAAATACCATTTGTCAAAATGAAAGGAGGATGTGATGTGCCACAGCATTCTTCGAAGAAGTCCGGTAGAGATGAAAAATATCGTGAGATATTTTGAACCCCGGGCAGAGACCCATGCACTACAACAGATTCCTTCTACCAGATCTAGAAACCTCCAACCGTGGGCTCTTGTTTTGTCCCCACTGACATGTTTAACTCTGGAATCCAGTGCCCGGTCTAAAGAGCTAACCCAGGGAAGCACTAAGTGAATTTCTGATAGACTGTCACTTAAAATCATTGATGATTAGGTGTAATGGATCTTTTGAGACTGTGCCACCAGTTTTGCTGCTAAGACTTCCTCACAGCACCTGTTACTCTACCAACTCTTTCAAAGTAACAGTGTTTTTGGTTGGTACACTGATGTTCTTGACTCTAAAGTGGAACTCCTATTGTTTGGGAAACGAGGTGATTTGTTTTGATGGGTTAATGAATAGTTTGCTATTGCTATTTTACAATTAACTTTGAATATCTCTGTAATATCTCTGTAATATCTCTGTAATATCTCTGTAAAGAGGTGTATTTGTCAATAAAAAAATAATTCAAGGGTTAAAAATCTGTTGTTTGTTGCAATACCACTTTCTCTTGTTGTCATGGTTTAAAGGATTGTCTTGGCTAAATATATATATATATATACATACATATATGTATAAGTTAGATATGTCAGTCTTCATATCATTAGCATGCACGTACCCATAAATCACTTAGGCCATCCATCATACACAGTTTCCAGATGGGGTTAGCATGGCTTGTGAAGCAGTTGTTGGCCAACAGTGGTAGACAGTACTGAAGAGAAGACTTGGTGCTATAAATGAGGGCTGCTCTCCTGAGAGAGAGAGAGAGAGAGAGAAAGAATACAGAATATGGCAGAATATGGGTTATATATGCTTAGTACTGTAGGTGAACATGTGGAAAGTATTTTCCAGCATTTTGAATTAAGAGCCCAAGTTTCTTTGATTCAAACTTATGAATCAAATACTAAAGGGCTGAGAATCTTTCAACATAGGTTTGGATTCTTTAAAATTTGCGAGTCCTCTCATTCTTGAGTTTTCTTATTGTAGAACCAAAATCACTAGTCGACTAGAGTTTTGTTCAACAAATGAAACATTTGGATGAGTGTGACTTTTTGGTTACTGGTCTTCTCTTTCTTGTTCTATGTATAGTCCATCTTCAGTGGTTGCGAGACTGAGACCACCGGTCCTCACAGCCCCAGGCGTGTGTAGCGCTCAGTGCTGCATCCACAGCCAAGCCCAAGCCGGCCCTGACTGGGAACCCAAAGTCCTTTTCTGCCTCCTAACTCATTGCTATACACCATGGCCTTTAAACCTCACACTTGCCAGATTCAGGTGTTTTTAATTTTTTTTTTTTTTTTGCCATAAAGTGACCTTTAGTGATTGTTCTTGCAACATGAGAAGATATGAGTTGATAAATAGGAAAAATTTAGTATTATAGAATTAGTGTATTTTTAAAAATAAAGAAAAAGAGATCAGTGCTAAATGGGACAGCTGCTCTAATTAATTTCACTGTGAAGGTCTCAGGTTTTCTTATTCAGAGTTTTTCATACCCAAGCTGTGCTAAATCAAGGAAATGTGCCAAGTACTGTTAAATATCTCTATTTTCCAAAGATCCAAACAGGTTAAAAACCAAACAGAACCAAAAAGAGAGGAAAAGCAAAAAGAGCATTTAATTGATTTTCTTATATGCTCGTCACCCCTCCTGACCTCATGATGTCTTCAAAAGGTCTGACTTGCCTGTGGACCAATAACAATCCACTTTCTCAATTCTGTGGATCAAAGTGGAAAGACATAGATCCTATGAGAAGACATCACAGTTGGTGGACGTACCGTGTAAACATCAGAAGATCGACACGAACGTCACTCAATGTCAAATTTGTATGGGAAATGTTTGATTCAGAGGGTTCGATGTACTCATGTGCATTTCCTTTGGGATTTGCCCCACTTCTCCGAGCTGTATTGCCCTTGGGTTTGCTTATCTAACAAGCCTGACTTTCAGTTATAAGATCTAGTCTCTTACAGACACCTCCACAGATCCTTGAGAACCAATACCTATATTGTAAATAAATACAAATTTTTAATTATCTGTGGAGCAATGCGACTGTACAGTCTTAATTCCTAAGTGAGATTATTGAGTAAATTATGTTATATAAATTACAGAATTGTGAAGTTCTATGCCTTCAGTGATCCTCCCTTTTGTTCATGTTTTAAAGACTATGGGAAACTGTGTATGTTGTCAAAGTTGGAGTTTGTTTTTCTCTGTGTATCATAATAAAATTGTGGTTATTACATGTAATTGTGACGGCGTATGTCATCCTGGATTCTGTCTACTTCCTATGTTTGGGGCACCAATGAAAAGTCTTAGTATTTGCAGTATCTGTTGCTTCAAAGTTAAGGAGTTAATTTTGCTGCCATGATCAAGAATTCTGATTGGAAACCACTGAAGGTTTGTAGCAAGGGACCACATGACCAGTCTGCTTATGAGGTTTGGAGAAGAATCTTACATGAAGCCCAAGGCCCCTTTGACCTCCATCGGACAACATTTCCCTCCTGTGGAACACAGTTGGGTGGAGCAGCCCATGGTAGTTAAGTATTTTGTGTGTGCTATGCCAGGTTACCAAGTACCCTGGAACAGAGCAGCGTAACATAGAATGCCACAAGGGAAGAATATGTCCTCATGTGCATCCTACTGTGCCAAATAAGAGAGTAGGTTGCTTCCTTCTAAAAGATCCTCCCAGGAGCTGTACCTGGCAACTTCTGATTACATCTCATTTGTCGAAACTGCCTCTCTGTGAACATCCCTAGCTGCAAGAGAAGCTGGGAGTGCCATCCCTGTGCAGTCAGGTTCTACTAGTAATAAAGAAGATAAGAGATGAAGCTTGCATGGCAACTGCTCTAACATTGCCATTGAGACTCCACCGTCATGATAAAGAATTATCTTATTTGGATAAGATATGATGTTTTGGATGATTTGTGTACCTTTCTTCAGCTGTCAAAAGGGAAAAGTAGCTGAACACACTTCTTTAGAGCCAACACTACCTGGCATCAAATGAGCAATCATTTTGAAATACATATAACTGTATATGTCCATACACAGTATGTGTAAGTATTCATTCAGAATCATTTGTATGTAATATATGTAATGAAGTACATATTTTCCATTTAGCATATATTTTGTGTAGCTTTTGTTATTTCTACCTAAATGACAATGTTGTTTCTCACACTTTGACAGCTTACCGTTCCCTAATTGATCATCCCGAAAGGTGATCACCTAAAGCTGTAGCAAAGCTGGTTTATTGTATTGCCTCTTGCCCTTGTTGAGACACAACACGTTGGGAAGCTGAGTAGTTCTGGTTGGGAGTCCCTGATGGTGATTGCCATCAAGTTGTGCCTTCACTTGGAACAGTGGAAGTCCGAGGCACCTCGGAATTGTCTGGTCTTCTCTTCTCAAGTAGTGCCAGGTATTCCCCAGATGGTGCTTCCGCTTGGACTAATTTGAGCATCTCACCTACAGCATGGGGCATTCTAGACCATCAGATCGAACTTTCGGGAGTGAGCATTCCAGGGAGGCCTTTAACCAATAGCCCCAGAAGTCAGAAATCACTTCCTTTGCACCGAAGTCCTCCCAGTTTAAGGGAGAGGAACATAGACAACATCCCTCAGTTGGAGGATTGTTAACTGTCTCAATGTAACAACATGTGTTGGGCCCAGTGCAATAGCTTGGTGGCTAAAGTCCTCACCTTGCATCTGTCAGGATCCCATATAGGCACCAGTTCATATCCCATGTAGCAACCTGCTTGTGGCCTGGGAAAGCAGTCGAGAAGGGCCTGATTCCTTGGGACCCTGTACCAGCATGGGAGACCTAGAGGAAGCCTCTGGTTTTGAATCGGCCCTTGTGGCCGCTTGGGAAGTGGATGGAAGCTCTTTATCTCTGTCTCTCCTCTCTGTAACTCTTCCCTTCCAATAAAAATGAAGGAAACCTTTTAAAAATATAAAATTAATTTAGGAATTGTGTTTGCATAAAGGACCTAGGACTTTGTGGATCTCACATGTTAAACACAAGTATTTGCTTCAGTTACCTGTGGCCCCTCGCACAGGGAATATGGACTCAGCAGATAGGAGTCAGGTGAGGCCAAAGGGGGCAAAGTGGATTCCCTAACCCAAAAGAAAGCAAAGTTGCGGTTCTTTCCATTTTGGGTAGACTAAGTTACATGCTGCATGAGAAGAGGATGTGGAAGGAATGTTTCCAAGAGGTGAAACCACAATGGAAATGGCCAGACACAACAGCCTTGTTACACTGGGCTGCCCTAGAGAGAGCCGGAGATGTGTCCATGGTCCAGCCAGGTGTGGCGGTGGCTTTTATTGAGGTCCGGTGTCAGATCAGACAGCATATCCGTGTGCAGGTATAAACCAACAGGCTTCCGACTGTAACACCTAAACTCTGGTCACTGTTTGCCTGCATTCAGGCTGCACTGCTACGAAGACAGTGCTTCGTGTTGTTTATTTTCTAGAACTTAGAGGGGCCGGTCTAGGGGGCAGTCTGGTGGTTAAGGGGAGAAAGCTTGGTTCCGGGTAGTGACTGGAAAGCCAAGTGTAGGCAGAGAGATTCTGTAGCCTCTGATTACCTGAACGTGAAAGCCACAGACTCTGAGTTACTCTTCTGTTTCGGTGGTGCAAATTCTTCACTTACACGTGCCCTGTGTTCCCTCACCCTTGAATGTGTTCCTTCCTTTTGATGCCTGTGGCAGCTTTCCTAGTCCAGACACAAGAACGTTTGCCTAGATTCCAGTATTGTCTGTGGTCTTGCCACACTTCTACCCAGTCAGCAAACCTCTTCTCCCAGATTGGTGCCCTGGAAAACAAGCCTGGTACAGAGAGGCTCTGGGAACACAGACTGTGGCACCGCTGGTGTGGTCAGACGTTGCCTCTGTGACCGATTGGCTGTGAAACCTGCACGGCATCTCTGGCACTGAAAATGGAAGCAATACTGCTTTCCTCAGCAGTTCTTTGTCAGCGTGAGATGAGTTAGTGTAGGAAGCACAGTGAGAGGAGGGTCTGCCTCCCAGTTACTCAGACTAAAAATTTTGCTGTCATTCTCCTTGCTTGCCCTGCCATGACTCAAGAAAAAAAAAATCATCACGAAATCCCACTGGAGGCCAGCATTGTGCTTCAGAGGGTCAAGCCATTGCCTGTGATGCCGGCATCCCATAGGCTCACTGGTTCCTGTCCCAGCTGTAACACTTCAGATCTCGGTCCTTGCTGATGTGCGTGGGAAAGCAATGGAGGGCCCGGGCCCCTGAACCCTCATGGGAGACCTGGAAGAAGCTCTGGCCTTGGCTCAGCCCCAGAAATTGGGTCCATTTGGGGAGTGAATCAACAGATGGAAGATTTCTATCTCTCTAGCTCTCCTCTGTCTGTTTGCCTTCAACTAGATCCAATTTTTGAAGAATTATTTATTTCAAAAGAATGTAAGAAGGAAGGAGAAACACACACACAAGAGCTTTCTATTGCTGCTTTGTTCCCTAAGTGGCTACAACATGTGAGACCGCAACAGGCTGATGCCTGGAGCAAGGAGCTTCTGAGCCTCCCGTGTGGGGCACAGGCAACTGAAACATCCTCCACTGCTTTCCCAGACCATTAACAGGGAGCTGGTTTGAAAGCAAAGCTGTCAGGACAAGACCCAGTGCTTGTATGGGACAATGGCACCACAGGTGGCAGCTTCACTGGCTACGTCACATGCCAGACATCGAGTCTTAAGAAGAAACTTCCACTGACTTCGCTTTAAAGTAGAGCTAGACTCTAACCCCTTCTGGTCACTGTCTCATGTCCAAATTTCTGGAGTAGCTTCTTTAACACCCTGCTTCTGCCTTTGCTTTCCTGAAAAATGTTGCTAATATAATTTCTTGGCCTAACTCATATTCTGTCACTCTTTGACTTAAAACCTTATGAAGCTCACACCAAGCCAGGTCATAGAATGGTCATGGATCCAGCTAGTCATCACCATCACCCCCTCTGCCCTTGCCTCCTATTGCTCCTCTCCCTCCATCCTTGCCAGATCTCTGTTGTTCATGGCACCATGCTAAATGCATTTCCATCTTAGAGTCCTTGCTTTACTTGTGCCTCACCCAACAAGTTAGTTCCTAAAGGACTGATGGACCAAGCCCTTCAATTCCCTTGTCTCTTTGCTCCATTTTTAGTCCCTCAGTACTGCAGCCTGTGTTTGGATCTCTGAACTTGGGGCCTTCTTTTCCCCAAAGCACTTACTACCTTTTGATGCACTCTTCCATGCGCTTGGTATTTTTTAAGATTTATTTATTTTTTTTTTTGGAAAGTCACATATACAGAGAGGAGAGAAAGGAAGGAAGAACTGCCTGCTGGTTCACTCCCCAAGTGGCTGCAACAGCCAGAGCTGAGCTGATCCAAAGCCAGGAGCCAGGGGCTTTCTCCAGGTCTCCCATGTGAGTGCAGGGTCCCAAGGCTTTGGGCTGTCCTTGACTGCTTTGCCAGGCCACAAGCAGGGAGCTGGAGAGGAAGTGCGACAGCTGGAATATGAACCAGTGCCCAGTGGGGATCCTGGTGCATGCAAAGAAGAACTTCAGCCACTAGACCACCATGCCAGGCCAGCACGTGGGTTGTGTTTCTGTTGTTTGTGGACCATCTCCCTCATTAGAAAGTAACCTCTTTGAACAGTTAATGGTCATCGTTCATCCGTTTTGCTTCTAGCAAATGGCTAGAGCAGTGGTGGACATGTTCCAGGACTTCAGTAAATGCATGTTGGGTGAATGGATGCAGCACCGAAGATGTGCTCTCGATGCAGATTCTTTTCCTCTGCTTACACTTTTTCCTAGGTAATTTGTTTAACAGTAGTTTGTTAAACATTTGCTGTGTTTGATACAATGCCAGACACTGGATCTAAAAAATACGAATGCCCATAGAGACTTGCAGGTGATAAAGACAAGCATGTGAGGAAGCCAGATCGGCTCTTCTGGCTGAGGGTGGGCGCTTGGTCAGCCCTGAACTCACTGCCTCGGATGCCTGTGTCCCATCTGGCAGTGCCTGGTTCAGGTTCTGACTAGTCCACCTCCTGTTCAATTTCCAACTAATATGTACTCTGGAAGGCAGCAGGTGATAGCTGAAATGCTTGCATCTCTGCCACCCATGTGGGAGACCCAGATAAAGTTGTGGCTCTTGGCTTGAGGCTGGCCCAGCCCTGGATATTGTGGACATTTCAGGATAAGATTCTCTCTCTCATTCTCTCTGTTTCTTGCCTTTTCAAAGAAAATGTGACTAA